CATACAGTAGCAGGATTGGTCAGCCTTATCAATGCCTATGCACCAACACTGACCTCCTCCACCGAACCGAAGGATGAGTTGTATGATGACCTCGGCCTAACTCTCAGAGACATACCTCAACAAGAGCCAGTCTTCCTCCTGGGAGATTTTAATGCAAGAGTTGGTTTTGATCACAGATCTTGGCCTTCCTGCCTTGGCCAGTTTGGATTTGGGAAGATGAATAAGAGTGGGCAGTGCCTCTTGGAGTTCTGCTGCCATCATGATCTCTGCATCACCAATTCCTTCTTCGACACCAAGCTCCAGCATAAGGTTTCCTGGAGACATCCCAGGTCTAATCATTGGCACCAACTCGACCTGATGCTTACGGGGCGTAGCAATCTGAGAAACGTCAAACTGACCCGCAGCTTCCAGAGCGAAGATTGTGACACCGACCATTCTCTCGTCGTCTGCAGAATGAAGTTCTAGCTCCGGAAAATCTACAAAGCAAAGAAGGAGAGAAGATAGCTCATTAACGTAAACAAGACCCGTGACCTTCACAAGGTGGAGGAATTCACTGCGGCGCTGGTAAATGCCCTTCCTGTACAACCCTGTGATAGCGCAAGTGAGAGGTGCTCACATCTCAGGGGCACTATTTTTCAACACTGCCATGTCCACCTTCGGTAAGAGGCAGAACAAGTCAGCAGATTGGTTCGACGCCAGCGCAGAGGAACTGTTACCTCTCGTAGAGGAAAAGAGACTAGCTCTCTCATCCTACAAGAACCTGCCCTCAGAAAGGAACCTATAGGCCCTCCGTACTGCCCACAGTAGAGTTCAACAAACTGCGAGGCGTTGCGCTAACGATTACTGGCTTCGACTCTGTTCCAGCATCTAGACTGCGGCCACTGTCGGCAACATAAAAGGCATGTACGAAGGGATCTAACAGGCAACAGGCTCTACACAAAACAGGACGGCTCCTCTGAATTCAGTCACTGGAGAGATCATTAAAGACCGTGATCAACAGATGAATCGCTGGATGGAACATTACTCCGAATTCTACTCCAGAGAGAACTTGGTCAGCATAGAGGCTTTGGATGCAATCGAATGCCTGCCCATCATGGAAGAACTCGATCTTCAACCAACTGTGGAAGAAGTTGAGAAAGCAGTGGATTCACTTTCCTCAGGGAAGGGCCCAGGAGGACAACGGGATTCCGCCTGAAGTTCTCAAGTGCGCTCGTGGAACACTTAAAACTGATCTTCATGAACTTCTGTGCCAGTGCTGGAGGGAGGACTCGGTGCAGCACACATGGGAGATGCAAACATCATCCCTCGCTACAAAAATAAAGGTGACAGAAACGATGTCAACAACTATCGTGGCATCTCCCTCCTCAACGTCGTTGGCAAACTCTTTGCCAGGGTCGTCTTGGTCAGGCTTCAGATTCTTGCCGACAGAGTGTACCCCGATTCACAGTGTGGTTCCCGAGCAGAGAGGTCGACCACTGACATGGTGTTCTCCCTGAGACAGCTTCAAGAAAAGTGCAGGGAGCATAGAAAAGCCTTGTACATCGTCTTCATTGACCTTACAAAGGCCTTCGACCTCGTGAGCAGGGACGGACTCTTCAAGATCTTGGCCAAAATTGCCTGCCAACACACCCTACTCAGCATGATACAATCGTTCCACAAGGACATGAAGGGGACAGTCGTGTACGACAGCTCAACTTCTGAACTATTCAACATCAACAGTGGTGTTAAACAGGGGTGTGTGTACTAGCTCCAACCCTGTTCGGCAACTTCTTCGCAATTCTCGTCAAGCATGCCTTTGGAACAACCACAGAAGGCATCGATCTCCGTACAAGATCTGATGGAAAGCTCTATAATCTATCCAGACTCCCAGCAAAGACAAAAGTACAGATGTGAATCCTCAGGGAGTTCATCTTCGCCGACAACACAGCGATCACCACACACACAGCAGAAGGCCTGCAGCAGCTACTCAACCGCTTTGCCGCAGCCTGTTCCGCATTCGGCCTGATAATCAGCCTGAAGAAGGCACAGGTGATGGTACAAGATGTCAATGAGCTACCCTGTATAAATATAGCAGACTATGTGCTGGAGGCAGTTCTCGAGTTTGTGTACCTGGGCTTCATAATCTCAGACACCCTTTCCTTGGATACTGAACTCAACTGGTGTATCAGGAAGGCCGCAACAACACTGGCCAGGCTCACAAAACGCGTTTGGGAAAATGCCAAACTGACAGTGCACACCAAGGCACAAGTCTACATGACATGTGTGGTGAGTAGTACACTTCTTTACGGCTCGGAATCCTAGACCTTGCGTTTTGACCTGGAGAGATGGCACAATACCTTTCACATGCGGAACCTGAGACGCATCCTTGACATCACGTGGAAAGACCACGTCACCCACAACACAGTACTCGAGAGAACAGGAGTCCCTTCAATGTTCACTCTCCTGAAGCAGAGACGCATGCGATGACTGGGACATGTCATGGCTGGGACATTGTCAAGTGAAGACTAACGTAGTGTTAACGATTTAACGAGCTGTCGTTAATTCAGTGATTAATGTAAGGGGTTGACCGGTCTGTCATGATCGGAGTCAATTGCGCTGTAATTAAGCTGTTGTAATTCGTTGGACTGATTGGATCTGTCTGCGGGCAGAGGGATTAGGCACTCGTAGCTAATTAAGGAGAATTTGTACCCGCCACTTAGTGAATTAACATGGTGTTGATGTTATTGTTTACACGGAGTATCTTGTAACCTTTTGTGGTACAGTAGTGTATCCTCGTTAAGGTAATCTTGTCGTAAGACCGGAAATGAACTGCGAGTTGAGACAGTAGGCTTTATCAATACTCGTCTGAATTAATAGGCTGTTGTTTTCAGTAATTAATTGGGAATTACTCACCGAATGTTTGAATTTCAAGTTGATGTCATTATTTGATTTACGAGTTATTGCTGCCATTTAAGTGTCGTTGAGACACGTGTGTGTTAACGTAATTGTTTAAATTCAATTAATGTAACTTTTGTTGTTGATTGTCCAGAGAGACAAGTGTTAACGTAAGATTTTTATAAGGGGTTATCATTCTTGGATTAAGCACCTTGTTACTTGGTACCTCGTTGAGAGCAGCGAGCGCCAGTTAAGTTTTTGTGATTATAGTATTTGTTCACCGTGAAGCTGTGGCAATATTAATTGCAAGCTTGTGTCACCAGTGGGCACCACTGTGTTCAGTTAGTGTCATTAGTCAGTCAGCGACGACGGGATAAGGATACCGTGGGTCCATTAGGCTGTTGTATAGGTATTCTTTAATGCGCCACTGGAGTGACAGTAATGTAACGTAAACTCTTTGTTTTAGTAGTTCAAGTTTTTCTGTGAATAAATTGTTATATTTTAGAAAACGGTCGTTTACGACAAACCTTCCAATATTACTGCCCTACATTTCATGCTCTGCAACTCTTTGCCTGCTTATGTTCATATCAAGTCTGTATCTAAAGCTCGAGTCCATTGCACAGCACCACACCACTATTTATTTCTATAAATAATGAAGTGAGAATTCGTCGGCTACCCTTTATTAGTTTGTTAACTAGGAGGAGCCATCGACTTCAGTGACAGGTGTTACCCGTGTGGTTTCGCCTGGCGGTTTACTCTCACTTTCTTATTATCTTAGGCTTTAAGATTAAATATCTGCCACTGGCAGCTCTTGTTGTTTAAGGTCTGCCTCTCTTGCGAGGTATTTGCGATTGACGTAACATCAATAGGAATTAATTCTTTTGATAATTGTCAAAGAAAAAAAATCTCACGAAGACTGGATTAGCACCTGGAGAGGACCCTCTTTGTAAAGTGTGGATAGCAGGGATGTAGAAAGGGAAAATCGTGCCTGACAAACTTGAGTGAGGTCTATGACAGGCATTGTCAAAACAAGATGACTGGGAAGTCATATTTTTCCAGATTGTCGAAAAGCATTTGACGCTGTTTCTCATGAAAGGCTTTGTGTCAAAGCAGGCTGGGATAACTAGGAAGGTACTGAACTGAATAAGGGAGTACCTGACGGGCACAAAGCAAAGCGTCACATTCAGAGAGGAGATTTTGAGCTGGAGGCATCTAATATATGTGGTCCCACAATATTTCTTCCTGGGACCACTATTCTTCCTAATTCATGTTAACGACTAGCCTGAAGGAGTGAACATGAACATGTTAATATTCACAGATGATCCAAAACTGATGAGAATGTAAAAACAGAGGAGAACTGTAGAAAATTATAGGAGCTTGTCAGACAAAGAATATGAACAAATATATGAAAGACCAAAAAATATTCTTTGGGTTAATATAATAATACAAAATCAGCAGCAATATTATCTGCATATTGTATTATAGGTTAATAAATGATTTCGTTTTTTTCGACAATAACGGGAATGACACTACACGGATCTGAGAGATAAACATCTGGGAGTGGATATAGTCCCAACACTCATACCGGAGGCACACATAAACAGGATAACATCGGCAGTATATGGGAAATTGGCAAATATAAGAACATTTTTAATCCACCAAAATCAGGACTTCATTAAGGCAATTTACACAACATTTGTTTGAGAAATACTGGAATATGCAGCATCGGCATGGAATCCATCCCTTGTGAAGCCTGAAACGAATATTTATGAAGAACAAACGTTTAAAGTAAAATTGGTACCAGAAGAGATAAAGAGTTAAACTATGAACATAGGCTAATAGAACTAGATCATACAATCCAAGAGGACAGAAGAAACAGGGAGGAAATGATAACAACTTACAAGATACGGAGGGAAGTAGACAAGATGGAGAATAGCTTCTTTAAATTGTGATAAAGTAGGACAAGAAGACACAGGTTGAAGCCGGAAATGCAAAGGAAGGCTAACTACTCGTACCCTAGACGGTAAAGGGAAGGAGACTACTCGTACCCTGGACGGGTAACGGAAAGAGACTACTCGTACTCTGGATGGATAACGGAAGAAGTCTACTCGTACCCTGGATGGGTAATGGAAGGAGACTACTCGTACCCTGGACGGGTATTGGAAAATTACTCGTACCCTGGACGGGTAACGGAAGAAGTCTACTCGTACCCTGGACGGGTAATGGAAGGAGACTACTCGTACCCTGGACGGGTATTGGCAGATTACTCGTACCCTGGACGGATAACGGAAGGAGACTACTCGTACCCTGGACGGGTAACAGAAGGAGACTACTCGTACCCTGGACGGATAACGGAAGGAGACTACTCGTACCCTGGACGGGTAACAGAAGGAGACTACTCGTACCCTGGACGGATAACGGAAGGAGACTACTCGTACCCTGGACGGGTAACGGAAGGAAACTACTCATACCCTGGACGGGTAACGGAAGAAGTCTACTCGTACCCTGGACGGGTAATGGAAGGAGACTACTCGTACCCTGGACGGGTATTGGCAGATTACTCGTACCCTGGACAGATAACAGAAGGAGACTACTCGTACCCTGGACGGGTAATGGAAGGAGACTACTCGTACCCTGGACAGATAACAGAAGGAGCTTACTCGTACCCTGGACGGGTAACGGAAGGAGACTACTCGTACCCAGGACGGATAACGGGAGACTACTCGTACCCTGGACGGATAACAGAAGGAGACTACTCGTACCCTGGACGGGTAACGGAAGGAGAATACTCGTACCCTGGACAGATAACGGAAGGAGACTACTCGTACCCTGGACGGGTAACGAAAGGAGACTACTCGTACCCAGGACGGATAACGGGAGACTACTCGTACCCTGGACGGATAACGGGAGACTACTCGTACCCTGGACAGATAACGGAAGGAGACTACTCGTACCCTGGACGGGTAACGGAAGGAGACTACTCGTACCCAGGACGGGTAGTGAACAATCGGAATGCACAGGAGAAGTTGAAGAAGACACCTCCATCCACCAGTTTAAAGCTATATTCCACAAGGAATTCAAAAAATAACATAGTTAAATCACACTGCAACAGGCACAGTGAGGTTGGTAGATGAGATTTCTCTGGCGATGGTAGAGAAACCATCGCCAGAGAAATCCTAGTAAACAACACAGATATCATCGATAGATACAGCGATAGCAGGCGGCTTGACGTTTGCGAGGCACTACACATTAAGAAGTCAACACCAGCAATCAACAGCCAATTAATGCACAACTATATTCTACCCACCTCAAGACTCCGCTCCAATATATAGAAGCATCAAGAAAATATGGACCAATAGGCTTTCTACAATCACTTCCATTCAATACCCATTGTTTCGTGTTCTGTCTTGTGTTGATGAATTTAATACCCTATTAAAACCACCTCACCCCATCCACCTCACTCAAATGTAGATATAAACAAATCGGAATATCGTAGTTTCAGTTCTGTTCAGTTGGGTATGTGTAAACTAAAGTCTTGGAAAATGTAATAAGTTTTACGAAACGTGCTCAAGTTTTCGCATCAGACTAGAAATAAAAATGAATTTTGGAGAATTGATTTTTGAATTACCACCAACAGTGAAAAGAAATGTACGAAAGATTGAGAAAATTAGTGTTAGAATTATTAATCTTACTTTTTCGGTCATATTTAATAATATAGGTCTACAGGAAAGACTACTACCCAAATATGCTAATATATATATATATATATATATATATATATATATAGGTGATATATATATATATATATATATATATATATATATATATATATAGATATATATAAATATTGTGACGATAATCTCCTTCAAGAGAATTGAGCCTGCTCCTACCTCCAACGAGTACATCGATACATCTATATAAAACTACTATGGAAGAAATGTCCAACAACGACAACACAAACCTCCCAGGTTTGGCAGAGAGCCAAACGTATGCAGCCAGGAACACCTGCCTCACCTCAAACCGCCAAACTACCTGTCTTGTTGCCGGCTCCTCGCTGATTGGCCGCCGTTCTGGCGGCAACTGCACTCCACCCACCATACTACTTGATGTCTGGGGCTGCCACGACCTCAGTCCTCAAAAAAAAAATTCAGTGCTTTCATACGGTAAACACGTTCTTCCTGGTAGACGTAAGCTTTGGCTTACATGTACTAAGAGAGGTGATAGCTTAAAGCCAATATTCCTGCACCTCTCATTTTATTGTATATTGCACAGCTTGTTATTGCTCACTTGTCTTAACGTAACTTTTCATTTTGTCATTTAATTCTTCTTATTATTTTGATTGATTGATTTTATTATACGAATTTGTATGTCCATTTTATTCATGTTTGTTATTTAACGTAATTAAAATTTCATTGTTAAATTTACTTGTGTTTTGTGTGTCTTCTCCTTACCTTACCACAGACGAAGTTCCAGATTTTCTATTTTTTTTTATTCTATGTGACGAGGCCATACCCCTAGCTTTGAACAGCCGAACACCAACGCGTTACCGTCACATATTATATGGGGGCCTGTCCTAGGAGCTTCACTCAGGTACTGGTGCCAAGTGGTAATTTATGGTAAGCATATTTAACTTTGTTTACGTAGCTTTTACTATTTTTCATATTCAATTTCATTTTTTATATGGTGCGGTGTATTGTGCATTACGAGAGTAACATATGGTGAAGGTGAGACAACTTTGGATTACGTGGTGACTGTAGGCCTCAGTCATACTCTTAATTGGTCATCTCTCCCTCCGTGTTATTACTCGTGTTTACCATCTTTGTCCCTTGGATATTTCTCATTTTTGACAGATCATCATATTGGTACCCTGGTACTGTGGTCTGCCCCGGGTCCAGAGCACCCAATCTTCTGCAATCTGACTGTAGGAGGACAAAGAGGGCCATAGTTCCTCTAGCTCGAACTTTAGTTGCTGAATTGGGACCTCAGCAGCAGTTTCTCGTCACCAGTTGACACCTCGCACCCCTACACGTCAGTCAGAGATGATGATACATACAACGGTAGGGAATTAGCTTAACTTTTTCAGAGCACAAAAGTTCGCTAATTCTGTAAGTATCATATTAACTCAGTAGAAAAACTTGCTTTATGTCCTATAGAGACTTGGCAAGGTATGCCTACATCCTTGGACTACCAATTTTACTTTTGAGGCAATTAACTGTTTCATTTGTTTTCGAAACTCTGTTTCATTTGTTAGTAGGATTTTCTTGCCCTTATCCTCTTACATGAGTACCGGGTACAAGATTTCCTGCGCCCTTGATTTAAATATTAATCATTTAACATCTTGTACTTAACTTTAATTGTTAAAGATCCCACAGGATAGGTATCAGTTGCCACGTTGTCCTGTTTTCTGACATTCACTATAACTGAATATTCGTGTTACATTTATTTGCTAATTTCACCATGTTTCGTCTCCAAGCTTTCCGTGCAGATCCAGCAGGTGCAATAGGGACTTTAAGTCATGCCAAGAAGACTGAATTACAAACTCTTGCACATGAGTATCAACTAACAGTTTCCCTACCAAGCCAACAAGAGTGAAATACACAACCTGTTGCTGGATCATTTCTTAGAGCAAGGTAAGATAGACTCTGAAACTCATGAAACTTACTATATTGCAGATAAAACTGATTTGGCGACGATGAAACTCAAACTAGAGCTGGCCAAGATTAAACGTGAGCAGCAAAGAGAAGCAGCTGCCATACGAAGGGAAGAACAAGAACGTGAAATCACCCTCAGAGAACGTGAAACTACTTTGAGGAGAGAAGAACAAGAACGTGAAGCTGCCTTGAGGAGAGAAGAACACGAACGTGGACTCGCCCTCCACGAACGTGAGGTCGCCTTGCTCCGTGAACGTGAACGAGTACAGCTTGAAACAAAACAACGCGAGTTGGAGATGCAACGCGAGCATGACAAGCAACAAGCGACTCTGGCTCTAGAGTGTCGTCTACGCGAAATCGCCTTGGAAACTTCACACTTCACTCAACGCCAGCAAGCTACTGCCAATCTTCCCGTCAGTTTTAAATATATCACATGCAAGTAAGTTAATGCCATCCTTTGTAGAAGCAGAAGTTGATGTGTTTTTTTACCACCTTTGAAACCCTTGCTAATCAACTCAGTTGGCCTGTCGACCAATGCGCCACACTTCTCAGAGTCCATCTTACAGGTAGAGCTGCAGTCACACTCAGTACTTTGGCGTCTGAGAATGACTACCACACTCTGAAACAAGCAGTGTTGGACGCCTACCTCCTTTCTACAGAAAGTTATAGAAGGAAATTCCGTGACCACCTGAAGGCAAGTACCACTACCTTCCTCGAGTTTGCTAACACAAAACGGAGATATTTCATGAAATGGCTGGAAGCAGCACATGTCTCTACTTTTACAGAACTCGTCAACCTGATGCTTGTTGAAGAATTCTTGAGGCGTGTGCCGCCTCCTGTCCGTCTCTACTTAGCAGATAAAGAAGAAACCGACTACCTGAAGTGTGCTAAGTCGGCTGACACTTACAGCCTCATCCACCGGCTGACACCCGAACCATCCTCCAGTAAGAAGTCGTGGTACAGTGACGAGAAAGTGAGCCCCGATCAAGCTGGTTCGCAACTGTACTGCAAGTATTGTAGACACTATGGACATACCATAGACAAGTGTGGTAAGTCTCAATACAAGGGAACCACTGACCCACAGAAATCCAAACCAACTCCTCCTAAGTCCGGTAAGCCTGTGATGAATGTTGGTGTTAATGTTAATAATCTTTCTCTTTTCAGTAACCACCTGTATACTGGAACTGTCTCTGCCAACGGTTCAAATCCGAAGGGACGTTTCAAATTGAAGATCTTGAGGGACACAGCGGCTCTTCAATCGATCATCTTGAAGTCGGCTGTGCCCAACATCGTCTTCACCGGAGAAACTGTCTTCATCACTGACCTCACTGCTACCACTCCATACCCTCTCGCCAGAGTCCACCTGGATTGTCCCTACGTGAACGGAGAAGTCCAAGTCGCCGTCAGGGAAAAGCCTTTTCCCATGCCTGGAGTGCAACTTCTCCTAGGCAACGACTTGGCAGAAGACCTGCAACCGACCAACCTGATCGTCATGGACAAACCCCTGGTGTGTAACTCTGTGCCAAGTAACCCTATTCTAGCGTATGTTCCAGCAGAGGTTCAAGAGAGTGATGAAGTTTCTCCTCCGGTTCTCGTGACCACCCGTGCACAAGCCGCACGTCCACAGCCAGCTGACTCTACTGCTACCGCTGTCCCTCAAGACCCTCAGAAACTACCCCCGAATCTGACCAAGTTGGAGTTCCGTAAGTTGCAGAGGGAAGATCTTACTTTAACACCATTGTTTTTCCAGGCTGAGACTCAACCCGACAGTATTCCTGGGTTCTTCCTAGAGAACGACTTGCTCTACCGCAGATATAGACCCAGTAAACTGAAGGAGGAGGACGATTGGGCCAACATCGAACAACTTGTGATTCCTACCAGCCTGCGGCCCACTATTCTACACCTGGCCCACGGAGCACTCTCCCACTACGGCTTCAAACAAGAATTACCATGGAATTCGTCAAGACTACTACTGGGCCAGGTATGGTAAATAACGTCAAACAGTACGTAAAACAGTGTCATACATGTCAGATGGCAGGCAAACCGAACATCTCCATTCCCAGAGCGCCACTGATTCCCATACAGGTGCCTGCGGAACCTTTCCACAGACTCATAATAGACTGTGTTGGTCCTTACCTCGGACCAGTTCAGGTAACGCCTACATCCTAACCATCCTGTGTCCTACCACCAGATTTCCCATAGCAGTTCCAGTAAAGAACATCACGGCTGCTACGGTTGTAAAACATCTATTGAAGATCTTCACTCAATACGGATTTCCCAGGGAGATTCAGAGCGACTGTGGTACCAACTTCACCAGTGATCTCTTCAAAAGGACACTGGAGGAGTTCAACATCAAACAGGTATTGTCCAGCCCCTATAATCCTGCTTCGCAGGGTTCTCTTGAACGTAGTCATCAGACTATCAAAGCACTCTTGAAAAAGTTTTGTAGTGAAACCTCTAAGGATTGGGATAAGCAAATTGAC